GGCGACAAGTCCCTGGGAGGAAGAGCAGAGCGGGGATGTTTTTAATGGGGTTTTATTGAGACCTCCCGCGTGGAAGAGGCTGCAAGGGCAGCTCTGCGTCTGACCCAGGACCAGCACGCCCGACCTGCAGACGTGGAGCTGTCGGAGATGGAAAGCGAAAAGTGCGTGAATCCGGCCGGCCTGTGTCCTGTGAATCCGTCTGTCCCACGTCGTGCGGAGCTGCCGTAGGGCAGAGGCAGCAGCCCCCATGTTCACATTTGATAGTGACCCGGGAAGGCGCCGGGTGCAGGGAGACCTCGGGAGCCGCGGGAGCCTCGAGCAGCTCAGGGCTCACGGAAGGAGCCGCCGGGTCGGGCAGCGGCCAGGTGGGAGCACCGTGAGATTTGGCACCTTTTCAAGCTGATTTTAAATGAGAACTCCTTTAATCCTCCTCCCTCTTGCCTTCCCTACATCACTGATTCCGCATCAAACGCTTTAAATTAATTTGAGCCTGCCATTCCCTGCCCTGTTATCTTTTTCCTCCTCATTTATGAATTTTAAATCAACTTGTTAACAACCTACTTAGTTGCATAATTTTGCTATAATAATCCATGCCCCTGGCTGATCCATATTAATTTGGCAGCGAAGGTCTCCGTGACCTCGGACACGGCGCCCTTGCTGCTGCTTGGATGTGCTGTGGTGGGAGCCTGAAACCCGGGAGCCACTGGGACGTGGGTTCCCATGGCTCCCGTTCTGGCCTCTCCCTGCATCCTCCTTCCCAATGCGGATCAGCTCCACTCCAGCTGCACAGGCACCATCTCCCATCGTCCATGTGGCCTAGGGGCTTTGGAGGGTGCAGAGAAGTGCTGCTTCCCGGGTGGAACTGAAGGGGCAAAACGCATCTGCCATTCCCAGAGTTATGGAATGGGATTGTGGCCCTGTGGATTGGTGAGAGAGGGCAGAGAGGGCAGGGAGGTGCCGGAGGAGGGAAGCTGCAAGGAGGAGACCCTGCGGCTGCCGCGCGGCGCCGGCGCTCTGCTCTCGTCCCTCCCACTCGCCCTCGGTCTTGGACCGAGCGGGGATGCTCCAGCCAGCAGGAGCTTCTCCCGAAGCAGCCGGTGGAGCCGCTGGAAACGCGTCTCGGGCGCCTGCTCCAGCCTCACACCGCCCTCTTGCGACTCCCGCTCGGAGCGGCGGCCGGAGAGGAGCCGCGGGAGCCGAGGGGCTGCGGGAGCTGCCGGCACTTTGCAGCACGGCTCGCTGTCCCCCTGCCCGCGTGCGGGACCTGCTCCTCCTCTGTGCGGGACGAGCCTCTGGCTCCACGAGCCGGAGCTCCCGTGGGCATCAGAGCAGCCGCACAGGACGGAGGCACCTCGTGTCTGCAGCCTCGTGTCCCTCGTCCTGGCACCTGGGCAGGTTCAGCCACTGCGGGCTGCAAAAGTATGATTAAAACAGAATTACTGCTGATTCAATGTGATTAAGTGGTGAGGAGCTGGGCAGGGAGCAGCAACAGGAGCACGTGCCTGCCCAGGGGCCAGCGGACGTCCCGCTCCCTGCACCACATCCTGCAGTGCGGAGCAAGGGGCCACGAGCCTGGAACTGCCACCGGCTGCCAAGGAAGGAGGCAACCAAGACCCTGGTGTTTAATTGCAAACAGTCTAATTCCCAGTAAGAGGCTCATTCTTATGCACAACATGCAGCCTCTAATTAAATTTTGAGAGTGTTTCCTTTTCTGTTTTTTCCTGTGCAGTTTTCCATAGAAAGTAATTAGCTTGCTTTTGTTCTCTGTGAGCACGTAATTAATTAGCACTGTTAATCACAGCCAGGACCCTGCTGTGTTGGTGACTGGGTGCTGCAGGGTGTCCGCGCTGTCCCCGTGTGTGGGGTGGCTGCAGGGAGCTCTGCCCTGCTGCGAGGGGGGCTGCAGAGCCAGGCACGGGGGCCACTCACCACGAGAGGGTGCTGCTGCTGCTGCTGCTGCGTGGGGCACACGGGCCATCCTGGCGCACATCCCCGTGTGCCAGTGCTGCCTGTGCCCACTGGCGCTCCAGAGCTGGTGGCCGCAGGGGGACCTGCGTTGGGGCCAGGGCTCGCGCGGGCAGAGCGAGGGCCGTGCGGCCACCAGGGCGAAGGGCAGCCGGGGTGTCCTTGGCCTCGTTGGCCCGGCACGCAGCCCTGCGGCCGGCAGCGCTGCCGCCATCGCCCCGTGCAGGGGCTCTGCTGGGCCCACGGGGCTGGTGCTGCCCGCGGGGCAGTGCTGGACGTGGGATCAGGGTCCCGCCGGGCCGTGGACACAGCTTGCAGAGCAGGCACCCAGCCCGTGCGGCCGCTGACTCAGCAGAGCTCAAATCCGCGGCCAGGCCGCCTCGTGCGCAGAGCCCAGATCCGCTCCTCGCGCTCGTCACATGAATGTGCTCTGCGCGGCTCGGTCCCGCGGCCAGGGCTGTGAGCGCGGATTAGCCTGGCCCACCGGGTCGTATGCGGCCGGGCGCACGAGGTGCTGGGTTGCTACGGCCCTGGCCGTGGGGCAGTGCGGCACGGGGCAGTGCAGCATTGGGCAGCAAGGTGCAGGGTTTGCAGCGTGGCACGGGCTGGCACCACACCGGGCAGCTCCCCTGGCAGGCCGGGCTGGCGCAATCCATCACACAGGTTTCCTCCCCATGCTCCATCATCCTGTGTCCTTCCTCCCACGGGCGGCAAAATAAAATTCCCTTCATAGCAGGCAGAATTGAGGAAATAGTTGGGAACTAATTCCCGCGTAGTTTGTTTTCCCAAACATCTCCTGCGGTCGCTGGCCAGGATGGCGCAACAATGGCAGGGGCGGGCGTTCCCGTGGAGCGCGCGCCGGGAAGCGCCGCCGCCCCCACGGAGCCGGCACTCCGGCACCTGCCGCCGGCACCAGGGGGGCCCAGGGCTGGAGCCGTCCTGGCACAATGGCCCGAGCCTCGCGCGGGGCCGGAGCAGCCGTGGGGACCCGGCCGTGGCTCAGTGTCCCGGCCCTGCTCATGCAGCCCAGCACCGGCCGTGCTCCATGTGCAGGTCCCTGGGAGCGTGGGATGCATCCGCGGGAGGACACGGCCTGTTCCCCCGGGCAGAGCAGTGCACAGCTCCGGGGTGCTGTCCCAGGCATGGGGCCTGAGTCACGCGCTGCCAGCTTCACCTTCCTCTTTCACCCACGTGCGTCAGCACCGTCCTGCCCTGGCTCCCGCCCTCAGCACGGCCGGGGCCCTCGGGGCTGCCGAGGTGGGAGCACGGCGAGGGGAGCTGCCCCAGGATTCGCTATCCGTGCCGTGAGCCGGAGCAGCAGGAAATTAACTAAACCTTGTTCCTTGGAAGCGCGCTGGCGGCCGGCCCGGCTCCGCACGCTTCTTAGAAGTCGCTGGCAGGGAGGCCGCGCAGCTTACGGGAAGGCGCAGGTCGGGCAGCTATTGTGCTCCTGGCCCGGGCACCCTGGGAGCCACCGGGGCCGGCGCCGCTCCCGCTCCGTCCCCCGCAGCCCGCGCCCGCAGGAGCGGCTCCATCCCGGCCTGGTGGCACAAAGAGGCTCCACAGCTGCAGCTCTCCAGCGTTAGTTTATTGCAGCGCAAACCATGCACCAGCACTACAGTTAGGGCAGTACAGTTATTGGGTTTGACAGCGGCACAGTACAACAGAATCAGCTGGTACAAAATATACTATTGGCTTTATAAAGTTTAACTCTACAGTACGAGATACCCTGACCTGCTCATTCTGGGAGACAGGGACTGGCCTTAAGTGCAGGCTGAAGGGCCTGAAGCTGCAGGGAGCAGCCCCAGCACAACCCAGGTGCATCCCAGGGATCCCAGCAGCACCTTGGCACCAGAGCCTTGGTTTTAGTCCTGCGTGCACCAGCTCTGTCCCTGGGGCTGGGCAGAACCGGCCCCAGCGCAGGGTCACCAGAGGCAGCGCAGCCCCTGCCCAGAGAGCGCACAGTGAAGCAGGTGCCTCACACCACAGGATGCTTAAGGCAGCCTTTTAACCAGGGCAGGCCCAGGAAACAAGAGCATCTCTAAACCCAGAGTGCATAGAGAGCCCTGGCCAGCCCGCCAGCCTCACCCCAGAGCCTGCTCTTGCAGCAGAGTGGAGCGAGCAGCACCAAGGGAGCCTTCAGCCTCACTGGAACAGCAATGTGCCCCACACTGGGTGGGCGAGAGCTTTGTGCAACTGGAGGAGCCTTTAAAAATCAGGGTTCCTGTCAAAGTGGGCTGCTTTTCCTGACGCACACAGAGGGCTTAGGAGCAGCACGCACGCATGCATGCATGCATCCCTGCACCCCCGCTGCAGCCCCGTGCTGCGGCCACAAGCAAGAGCACCACGGCCGGAGCTTCCAGCACAGAGCTGCTCGCCGCAAGGGGAAGTTGGAGCAGCAGCCTGGTCTATCCCCAGGGCAGAGCAGGGGGCTCTCGACTGCTTCCCAGGGCTGAGGAGCAGCTTTGCACCGTGCCCAACTGGATGCCTGCAGCTGCAGCCTGCTTGCCTCCCCGTAACACCTACCCAAAGCACTTCAGCGGGCACATTTCTGCAATATGGCCATTGCATGTTCCTAGGAAAGAAAATTTCAACATTTGATGGGTGAATTATAAAAAAAACAAGTTTATTTGAAAAAAATACTCAGCCTCTTACAAGATTTCTGATCAACATTTACTAGAACTTGAGAGCCATTAACCTGCTAGTCACAGGTAGTCTGCTCCGCGTACGTTGAGATATTTTCCAGCACTAAAAAATAAAAAATAAATACGTACAAACAAATCCTTTCCTCCCCTTGCGGGTCCTAGATGTCAGTTAAGGCAACGCCTAACCAGATCTTAGTTGAACAGAAGCAAGTAAAAGAGGTTTTTTCCTAGCAGATAAAACAGCGAAAGCAGGATACCTGTGTCGGGGCGGCGCGGGGCCCCTCGCCGCGGCAGCCGGGCGCCTGCGGCAGCTCCCTGCGCGGCAGCTGCCCCGCGCCGACCGCTCGCGCCAGGCCTGCTCTCGCCACCAGCTCTCCTCCAACCCCGCTACCCCATGAGAACGTAACTACAGAAGAGGAATTTGTAAAGAAATCTACAGTAGCTAAAGTGTTTTCAAAACATATCTAGAGACCAGCTACAGAGTGAGGCGGCGTCTGGCACGCAAGCTGGACACCCCCTGCTCCATGCCCAGATGCCTCCTGCACAAGAGCCTGCAGTAAGAAGCGTGTGAAGCAGGATTCATTCGGGGCTTGGCCCTGAAGCCCATCGTGCCTCAACAAGTCCAGTATCCAGCTTTTTATGGCTTTTTAACAACAAACCCCAACACACACACACACACACACACACACACACCATACCCCGAGCAGAACACGGAACTAAAGCCTGGTTTACAGGGTAGAGTTAAGGCTCCTCCAGAATCAGCTAGATATAAAGACCTAAGGCACATATTAGTACATTCATGTTACTGTTAAAAAGCCAGAATATAAAATCCCCCCGCGCCGGCCCCGCACACGAGGATACTGCACATGGAGCTGTTACCTTTGTTGAACACTGATGGAAAGACAGTTCCAAGCCTGGCTAAAATGAACCCCTGGTTTAGACACTTCTCACGGCTGCTCGGCGCCAGCAGAGCCCTTCCCCAGCACCATTCCAGCGCAACGGTGCTTCCCCGACGCCCGGGCTTAAAACCAGTCCCTCACATGTGGCTCTCCTCCTCTTTGACACCATCTTCCGTGCTCTTCTGCGGCAGCGTGGCCACGTCGTTGTTGGCCTCTTTCTGCTTCTCGGCCTCGTCCAGGTTGGTTTCCTCCTCCTTCCCTTCGTTCCTCAGCTTCTCCTCCGCCTTCTGCTCCTTGGCCACCAGGCGGTAGTTGATGCCCATGCCGATGAACAGGTAGATGCCGGACACGATGAGGATGACCCCGCAGGCCCAGTACGTGTACTTGTAGTCCCCGTACATGTCGTTGAGTTTACCTGGTGGACAGAGAGCCAACAGTTTAGCCAACACAGGGTTCCCCACACACAGCCCCCCGCTCCAGCTCCTCACGCAGCCGGGCTCGAGGGACAGAGACCAACCCGTGCAGTGACGGCCCACGGCTGGAAGGGCACTCTACCTAGCAGAGGGGGTCCCAGAAGCACCGGGCAGCACTCCACGATAGTCACGAGGCCAACAGCACTGGAGAACCTCTGCGCTCCCACGAGGTCCATCAGGGTTTCGAATAAGACTGAGCTAAGCCAGCCAAAGGCAAAGCCAAAGAACCCGGCATAAATGCAGAACCCAGCATAGGTGGTGGACATAGGGGCCAGGAGGTGGCACACGCCATTGTAGATCACAGAGATGGCAAAGAAATACTGGACTCTGGGCCTGATCCACTTGGTGTTGGCCACCAGGCCCATGGAAGGTCTGGCCACCATGTCTACAAAGGCCAAGATGGAGAGCAAGAAGGCTGCAGACTCATTAGCGATCTTCTTGCTCTTTGCGTAATTGCTGAGAAAGACCAAGGGAGTGAACAGTCCAAAGAACATGATCACGTTGCCTGACAGATAGAGCAAGAAGCCTCTGTGCGTGAACAGGGACAGATCCAAGAACTTGTTGACTGTCTGGAAAATTGTGCGCTTCTGCTTCTTGCTCTTCCCGCCAATGAGGTCTGTGTTGGTGTCACCAGCTCCGTCATCTTTTTTCACCGCTTTCCCAGCTTCCTGCAGCACCTCTTTAGTGGCCTCTTTCTTCAGCTGATCTGGCTTGGGGCCGATGGGCCGCATCAGGGATCCAGCTACGCAGCAGTTCAGCAAGAGACCGCCAAGGATCAAGAAGCTCCCTCGCCAGCCAAAGATGCCAAAGAAGAGCTGATTCACAGGTGCCAAGGTGGACAGGAACACGGGGCTACCTGCCATAGCGAGTCCATTAGCCAGGGGACGCTTCTTGAAGAAGTACTTGCCAATCATGGTTAAGGCTGGGTTCAAGTTAAACGCAAGTCCAAGGCCTGAGAAAGTAAGAGGGGAAAGTGCTCAGTGTGAAAGAGCCAACAGTGCTCAAAGAGGGACTGAGTAAACCGAGGCAGATGGGACAATTCTCACATTTAGTGTGACTTTTACTCTGCTAACTCTCAGAGCACACAGCAATATTCTGCCTCCTCACTACTCCTTCCTTGAGGCAGGAGCTAGGGCAGTAATAAAGTCAAGTGCAAGATCCAAGGGAGTCCAAAGGAGAGCAGTGCTGTGAGTCATAAACTTGACTTTCCTGGTGTGGCATAATTCTGAGACTGGAATAATTGGAGGCTTTGCACTGTAAGCAGCCAGATATTAATGCCTGAGTACTCACATTCTTCCTGCATTATGTGGCCACAGGCATCCCTTATTAGGGCACACACAAAGGGAATTAGGATTTATGCAAATTCACCATAGACATTTCATATATAATTGCTAGGTGCAAGTTGCTCCTCCTAGCGCCTCGGAAGATAAGTTATCTCGGCGCCTGGATGCGGGCGGCCGTCACTCACCGCCCACGACCCCCACGCAGAAGTAGAGCTCCTCCACGGTGTTGCAGAAGGAGGCCGCGATGAGGCCGCAGCCGGAGAGACACCCGCCGGCAATCATGATGGGCCGGCTGCCGTACTTGTTCACCAGGATGCTGCTGATGGGGCCTGAGGAGGCAAAGGAGACATGCCCGGAGGTGAGATTCGTCTGCACAGCACACAAATACTTGCAAGTGCACGGGATATTTATTGTCATAGGCTTCTAATTTTTGCACAGTGACACTTCACGTGGCCAGGGAATGGATTAGGGGGAGAGGAACAAGCAGGCGGCAGACAGCTGGAGATAAGGGAGTGACATTTGGTGGAAAGAACACATTGAAATCCTGGCTGAAAGAGCAGGACTCCAGCAAGCACCAGTGTGCTGCAGCTTTTGCAGAGCACCCAAGAGGAGCTCCTGCTGGAAAGAGCTGCAGCCCTGGAAAGCTGGGGGGACTGCGGGAGCACCGAGCTGCCCCGGAGCACTTTGCACTGGGGTGCTCATGTCCTGCAAGGCTCTGCACCCTGGCATGGGTGGCAGAGCCGCCCGGGAGCGTCGCTCCCTTTGCCCTGGCTCCCCGGGACAGGGCGGTCGCGTGTGCCCGGTGGAGGCTGCAGCGGAGCAGGGAGCTGCAGGCGCCCGAGCGGCCTCGGCGCTGCCTCTCCTGCTGCCCTTGAGGCGGGAGAAGCCCAGTTGCTCTGCACTGCCTTTTAAGTGCCTCATTATCACAAGCCTTAATCCAAAGCAAACAGCGATTAGATACTGCAGAGCATGCTCTACAGACACTAAAATGTATTTAAATAAACTGAATGAACATCCATTGAATATTAACAGATGTAGTTTTACCATTAACAGCTAGCAAGGTTGTCAACATGTTATTCATGGGTCCTCAGACACTACTTGACCTTTTTGCCTAGTTTAAACAGTGCCTGGAAAAGGCTGGAATAGCTCTACTGGGCAGCCAGAACCAGCCCTCCCGCAGCCTCAGCTCCAGCCCCATTCCAGCAGGGACCAGGAGCAGGATCCTCTTCCCTCTGGGCGGCTGCAGCAGCCCTGGGACCATTGCATCGCCGAGCCCCAATGCGCTGCAGTGCCGGGAGCTCGGCTGTTTGCAAAACCTGCACCCTGAACCCTGGACAAACCTCCGTGTCCCTGGATGGGGGCCAGCAGTGGCCGTGCGGGCCGTCCCAAAGCCCTCGGCACAGGCGCTCCGGCTGCTCTGGCCTCCGGCCCAGGGCGGGTGCGGGGCTCAGCCACGCTCCCCACTGCACAAGCGCCTCCCCGTCCCGGCGCTTTCCCTTTTGCACCGGGAAACGGGGCTGTCCCCCCTTCTCCTTTAAGGAAAGAGGAAAAATCCACAGCACTGCTGTCTGCTAAAGCTGCAAGAAATGTTTCTGATCGAGGCTGCTCTAGTTTGACTATCCACACAGCCAAAAAAGCATCAGGAGTGGGACAGGAATGCCCTAACGAGGGAATAAGAAAGGGACATTTAAGGTTATTGAATCTGAGTGTTCCCTCTGATTTCCAGATCCAGGAGCCCCAAGGCTGCAACAGAGAGTGGCAGCCGCCAGCTCCTGCCCTTGGGACTCCCGTCTTCAGCCTAAGCCGCACGTGCCGAGCTCTTCCCTAGGCCCTCGACTAGGATCAGTCGCTGACCCATCATAACAAGGGATCCTTCAGGTTGGAAGGTCCCTCTGCCCATCCGCCACTGCAGCCCCCATGCAGCCAGTCTCCCAGCTTCCAGGACAGACGTGAACACAGCCCTGGGATAAGGTCTGCGTGCAGCAGCGAGGCTGCTTTGCTGGCCGCCACCGCAGGCCGTGCGGCGGCACCGGCCACGGCTCCTGGCCCAGGCTGCAGGGCCCGTCCCCGGGGACGTGTCCACTGAGGACAGCGCGGGCGGTGCTGCTGGCCTGGCCCCATCACATCTCATTAAGCTGCTGCGTTTACGAGCTGGCCCCGGCAACGGGGCGCGCAGCCCGGCCGCTGTGCCCGCACCAAGCGGGGTCTGTTCCCAGGAGGCCTCCGGCTCGGCTGGCGTCAGCCCTCCTCGCCTCTCAAGCGGGACAGCACCACAGGGTCCCGAGCGGGAGCTTCTGCCAGCCGCACCATTCGGCACAGAACTGCGCGCACAGCCCGGAGAAGCAAGCGGCTCTGATGCACCCCAGCACCACTGGCCTCCTCCAAGCCGCATTGCAGGGCGTTGGGAAATGCCCGTCTTGGGCACAGCGAGGCCAGGTCACCAGGAGTGCAGGAGCTTCTGCACTGCCCGCGCTGCGCGCACAAGGCCGGGCCCAGGTCCCAAGGCGGCTCCGGGGCTGTGCGCACCCTGGAGCACGGGTGCGGGGAGAATTACACAAGCCGTAATTCCCCGGAAAGCTTTTATTAAAGCTTTGCGGAGCAGGACAGATTAACCCGGCTTTCACATTCTGGACACTGAATGGAAGTTTTTGACAAACCTCCTCGAGGTAAACTGGCCATGGGAAGTTTTGCCATGTATGGGAGGACTCGTCGCTCTGGCAGCATTGAGCGCTGCCCCGCAGGGCGCACGGGGACGTCCCCGCACGCAGCACGTGCCGCTGCCTACCTCCTGCGTACATGACCGCCAGCATGATGGAGGAGATCCACGAGACTTTGCTGCTGGACGCGTTGAAGATGACCTCGATCTCCTTGAAGAACACCGTGATGGACTTGGGGAAGGCATAGGAGAAGCCAATGGAGATGAAGGCTCCGATGACCACGGCCCATCCCCAGCCGCCTTCGGGAGGGGTGTAGCCCACGGGGCCTCCGATGGCTGGTGGCATCTTGAGCGTAGCTGGCAAGGCCTCGGCAGGAGCTCAGGATCTGCAAGGGACAAAGCGCCATCTCAGCCGAGCACCAGGACCTGCAGGAGTGCGCTCAGGACAGCGCAGCGCACCGGTCTCGCAAGGCTGTCTGCAAGCACGTGCTCGCACCGCGGCCAGCCTTTAAAAGCGACGGCCAGCGGGTGTTCATAGGCAGCAAGCCGAAGACAGGCGGTCCCTTGCAAGCTGCAAAGGGCAGACAATGGCCTTGCAGCGCTCGCCGGCCGGGCCTGTCTGCGCTCGGCGGCTCCGGCTCCGAGGCGGCCCCGCGCAGCGCCCGGCCCCGCGGCGAGCCGCGCTGCAAGCGCCGTCCTGCTCGCTCGGCTTCCCCCAGCATCGTTTCATGTGGATTCCCACTATCCCACGCCGGGAGCCCTCAGACACCCTTCTGTTCATCCCAGTCTTATTAAGCAATATTGCAGCAAGTCCTCTCATATTCCTGACAAGCCACCCATCCCACGGCAGGGAAAGTCAGGAGCACACTGGGTCCTCCTGCCTGGGCCAAGGGTCAGGACCGGCTCACAGGGAGATGACACGAGCAGCCATGACCAGTGCTGAGGCTGCCACGGAAATCCAGGAAAAAACACAGGATTGGAGCATTGCAGAGGCTGGGGAGACCTCGGGTCCCAGCCAAGCGCCCCCTTGGAGCGGGGTCACGCGGAGCGGGTAGCTCGGGAGCAGAAACACACCCAGGTTATTAAGCATGTTATTATTCATCAGGGAAAACAGGCCCCGCACACAAGCCCCGACACCTCCATGTCTGCAAGGAGCAGGCAATGTGTCATGTCGGCACGTCCATGATTCCTGGAAGTCTTGAGCTCCAGCTAAACTGAGCAGGGTCTGACCACAGCGCCAGGGTCGGGGAGCCCTCAACAGGACCCCGACAGCCCCAGGCCGGGCCCTACTCAGATAAACCACATGGCAGCCACACGGGAGCAGGACCCCAGGCTCCCTTGGACACCATCCTAACCTGCTTTCCCTCGGATTCTGCTCTGCTCCCAGATTTCAACAGGAAACAAAGGAAAAAGTTCATTTTGGGCACAAGACCCTCCCTCCACCAGCTCCCACGGATGACAGCACCATGCAGGACAGGGCTGCATGCCAGGCCGTGCAAGAGCCTTATTTGCAGCACGTCTCCTTCCAGCTGGCCGCGATTGCCATCGTGCTGGGGGGGTTGGGGGGGGGGCGCGTGCCAGCATCCCCGCACCCGCCACGCTCCCGGCTGCGGCTCCCGCTGCCTTCGGTCGCTCCCTCCGCTCCAAGCGCCAGGAAGGCAGGGAGGGGGTGCCGAGGAGGGGCACGGCCCAGAGTGGCCCCGGGAGCCCCGGTGCCAGCCGGGAGCCGCGCGGGCCAAGCACGGTGCCCATGGCCGCTACCCGACACCGGATTAGCCCTGCAAAAGCCACCCGACACCGGCTTCCCTGGCCGCCTCCTGCACGGGCGAGGAACAAAGCCCGGAGGGAGGCTGCTTTCCCTAAGCCCTTAAGACTGGTTTAGCCCAAGCCCAGCGCCGATCCCTCGCGCTGGAAGGAGCCTGGGCTGCACCGGGCAGCACGGCGCGTGACCCCAGGAGCAGCACCCGGCCACACCGCGGCCCTGGTGAGGAATCATTTACGAGCGCTGCCCCGAAACGAGCCCCATTAGTTGAACTATGCTCAGGAGCCCGAAGAATCATTGATCCCGCGGATGGGAGCGTGGGCAGCTTGGCACGAGGGAGCCAGGGCCGGGCGCTCGGACTGCGAGCAGCCCCAGGTCGGGTTATTCCTGGAAACAGGGCAGCAAAGCCAGGCTTTGCTGAGCAGCGCTGCCCGGCTGGACGCGCCACCTCCAGCCACTTCTCCAGCCATTTCTCGCTTTGAGTCACCCCAAGTTCCCCTTCAAGCCTCGCTCATTTGCCCGCAGCATTTTTAGGAGACGAGGCCGCCTCGTGCCAAGAGGGGCCAGCAGACGAGAGCTCCGAGAGCCGGGGGCAGCGTCGCGCGCTGGATGCCCCGAGCCATCCCAAAGCCGCGGGGAAGAGCGGCCCGGGATGGCTGCGGCTCCGGCGCGCGGAGGCTTCCTGCGCGCTTCCTCGCGGCCCCGCGCAGAGCCCGCTTTGGGCGGAAGGGAAAGGCTGCGGCTCGAGCGGAAAGCTCCCCCCTCACGAGGGGCAGGCCGTCGTTATGGCATTTGCAGCCCTGTTTTGGAAGGTTGCGACGTGTCAGACGTGTTTGGAAGTGAAATTCGCAGCTGCGCAGCAGCCAGCTCCAGTTGGCCCTATTAGGGAATAAAATAATTATATTCGCAGCAATTAAGCCTGATGAGCCCAAGCAATGGCAGCAAGCGTCACCTCGGATGCACTGCAAGCCCTGGGCGGCCCCTCACCCTGGGATGAGCGGAGAGGAACCAGCCCCCCCAGGCAAGGGGGAGCAAATGAGCCGAGAACGGCTGCGAGGCAGCGCTCCTTGCAGATCCCTGCACAGAGAGCCGTTATCCCTCCGCACCAGCGGTGTTTAAGACACTTCCTCACGCAATGCTGCAAATTTCCGTGCTGTGGCCGGCCTGTCCCAGCGGGTGCCAGGGCGTTCGAGGTGCTGCGAGCGCCAGCGGAGGCCCACTCAGCCCCGTGCGGGGAAGGCGCTTCCGCGGCGGGCGGCCAGGCGCAGATACTGGCTATCTCTGTCCTGCAGCTTCGGCACAGGATTTCAGCGCTCCATGTACACATTCTCCTGGCATCCCATGTGCAGGGGCTGCTCAGCCTGTGCCGCAGGATCCTCCGTGCTGGCGCTCCAGGGACACAGCTGGTCCAGGCACCGGGGTCCAGCACATGGCACCTCCCTGCCTGTCTATCTGCTCAGGCAACCGCATCCTGCTGCCCCGTGGGCCTGCCTGTCCCCAGCGCCTCCCGCACACACTGTACGGACAGCAAACGCTCTTGTCCTCACAGGAGATGCAGCCTGTGGAGGATCCCGGCCGCAGCCCAAGCCGCAGAGCCACCCCACACTCTCCGGGGAGCTCGGCAAGCACCGAGTCCGGCCATCAGACCAGTATGTGCTACCAGGGGCAGCTCCAAACACGCTTCTCCCCCGCATCTCGCCCTGCAAAAGCAGCTCCCCAGGCAGCTGCGTTTCAGCACTTGCAGCTCAGGGCACCGCTCGCGAGGCCAGGGACGTGCGGAGGAGGCAGCAGGCAGCAAGTTCCCCGCCAGCCCATGCTGCCAGCAGGAGCAACAGGCTGGGGCACCTGCGAGATGTTGAGTGAAGAGCACTTTATAGCTTCACGTTTGGCCTTGTCCTGCCTGGAGGCAGCATGAAATTGTTGCAAGCTAATGAGACACCGCTTACTGCTGCTGGGCATAAGCGGGTTTGCAGAATTAAGGGGGGATGTAATTCCCCGAGTGGCCGCAGCTGGGGGTTTAACCTGGCTGGACACGGCATACGTGACTGCCTGCGCTCGCAAGGCTCTGCACCAAAACAATAGTCAATTGAGCCCCGTTCGGCAAGCGCGGCGGCTGGCGGGTGAGGCGAGGTCAGGGGCGCGGGAGGGCTCGTGGAGGGGGCACGGGGGCTGTGCGGGCTGCTCCCCAGCTCGCGGGCTCAGCAGCGTCCCGCAGACACGTAACCCTGCAGAGCAGACAGCGAGACGCCACAAGGCAACTTTCTAGTGCTCATAAAAGAGGGCGCAAGTGGCAGCTGCCTTCACCCTTAGCTCAAAATTGCATCCCGCAGCGGGCACAAGCCCCAGCCTGCAGCGACTGGATCAGAGGTACGGAGCAGCCCACACCAGCACCGAGTGAGCGCCTGCCTGGCAGGCCCGAGGGGCTCCTGGAACGGCAGCCACCACCAGTAGCGGCTGCACGGAGGACAGAGCCTGGCCCGTGGCTTGGGGCGCATTGCCAGCACAGCAGCTCCGCACCGTTGCGTGCCGAGGGCTGGCACGTGTCCCACGCCACCAACGTGGGCCGCGCAGCTGGCCCCTTCCTCACTCGGAGCCTGCTCCCCACGCTCTTGAATTGCTCATCCTCTTGGAAAGAGGATTTTGAGCAAGTTGGCTTACAAAGCAAGGCATTAATGTTGTCAAGAGCATGGAAAGGGAGAAAAATAAGCCACTGTTTCTCCATCCAAAACAGATGCATCGAAAGCTTCCTTCCCAGGCTGTCGCACTCAGCTATTGTCACCAGCGACACTCAGCCTCTGTGAGCAAGAACCAGGAGTCTTCCTAGCAGGAGAAAGGCTGGGACTCAACTGTAAACACATTATCAACCAGATCAAGGGAAAAAGCCAGGGTTATTTCTGTGTTACAGCCCAGCAATAGTTACGACAAACAAAGCTCCCCCAGAGCCTGGGCCCAAAGCTCCCTGGGCAAAACAGCCTACATGAAACAGCCTGGCTGAGTTTGCAGGCAGGTTACAGGAATGTTATTTGAAATAGCTTTCGCAGATATCCCCAGGGCACACATCGCCTTTAATCCCGGGCGAGCGCGGCTCCAAGAGCAGCATGAGGTCAGCCCCGGGAGAGGCTCCTGCACCACATCAAGCAGCGCCAGCCCCCGGGACAGGCTGCTCATCCCCTGCCCAAGGCCCCGGCCTCGCGGGCAGCACAGCCCTGCTAGAGCATTTTGCACGCCCAGATCCAGGGATTCGCCCAAAGCACAAGCCCCAGCCCAGCAGCTTTGCAGGTAACACAATCAAGAAACCCTCGTGCTGCCAAATACCTTCCCTCCGACTCAGGCCCAGCAGGGATGGAGGGACGTAGCGTGGACACTGGTGACAACCTGGAGCTCACTGTGACAGTGCAGGATGCCTCCTGTGGGATGTCTCCTGTGTGGATGGCCTGGCCGCATGGGAACAGCCGCTCAGCACGCGGTGGAGCAATCCCCCTGCAGCAGCTGCTTAGGGACCATAATGCTCTGGAATGCTCCAAAGATGATTTGAGCCTTTCCAAGAAATCCCCAGAACAAGAAGAATCTGGTACCAAAGCACCTGCGCTTTTCCATGCAGATCCTGGGGCAGCTCCCATCC